TGATTTCAGCAGAAACAGTGTTGGACTAACACTGAACGTTTAAAAAAATCATATCTTAGACGCAGAAAGAATTTAAGCCTCGATCACAAACCTAGTATGTGTAGGGATCCACCTGCACGTATGAGGTTTTGTCATTGAGGCCTCACTGTGTTAGAGTAGAGAATAGGCACTTTTTTTTTTAATATCAGAATGCAGCTTTCTTTTTTTAGTTTTGCTGATGAACAAAGCCATAGTTAAAATAAAAACTGTTAGTTTATTTTGTCTTTCCAGGTTTGTTTGGAAAATGTTTTGGGAATGGACTACATGTAAATCATACCACAGCTGGGTATATTTTTTCTGGATTTCAGAAATAATGTAGTGTTAAATTCAGAAGAAAGCCTCAGTTGCAGAATTCTGGTACTGTTTCAGCTAATTTGATTACCGGTTAGCAGGCATCATGTTTATATGAACACTAAAAGGCATTTGAGGGATACACTTTGTATACAATCCAGCTATTTTATACTGGGTAATACATTTATTGTGAGTTTCTACAGATGATTTTGTGGAACCAGAAATATATACAGGACTTTTTTCCCCCCATGACAGACTACAAGGTTCACTTATCCTTTGACTAATTACAGTGTCTATTAAATTGCTTGTAAGTTGATTATCTAGCCTACTGTATTTTATGTGAGTTCATAATCACATACACAGTGTTGTAAAATAGGTAGGGTAATATGAGCAATATAAATGAAACATTTGAATGATGTTAACTTTCAATGATTTTTTTCATGTTATGAATTCATGAAATAATACTCATCCCATATGAACAAAGATCTAGTTTTCTGTAGCTTTGCAAAGCCTTTTATGGCACACCCACTGGAAAGCTCTAGTTTTAACTACTTCACAGGCACAGAAGAATTTTGCCATACAAATAACTTATTGAAAAAAAAATATCCTGGCAGATAACATTTCTGGAACTTGAATGATATGGGCTATATCTACAAGTAACGTAATATGCAGTAGATCAAGCTGTTCATCTCTAGCTATTCTAAATATTAACTGCGTTGGTACTTAAAAACATAGTAATAGCAGATGATTGCACTTGGTGTTACTGTCACTTTTTAAAACATTAACTGTTTTAATGATTTAAAACCATAACTATAAGCAAATACACCTATTCTCCCAAAACATTAAAATATATTACTTTAAAAAAAGTAATTACTGTAATAGAATGTTCCCAAACAACTGTTACTGTTGATCTATAACTGGGGGTACGGGGAGGGGCAGGGAGCAGGATCACTTCTGTTCCTAGGTTATTGGAGATTTTTGAAATAGATTAAAACATACTTTATTATTTTCTATGTGCACTTTTAGTTGGGAAGCGTAACAAGGCAGCCTGAAAAGAGGAGAAAACACAAAGTGTTCTGTGATTGAAATGATCTGGTTGCATGTGAGACTGAAGTTGAAAATTACAGATTGTGAAATGCAGGAAGAACGAACTTTGGGCAGTTTGAGAGAAGGGATGAGTATGCCTTATAAATCTGTGTAAATACAGTTAGTAGCTTTTAACAGTTCAATCTGCCACTGTATGTTCCAGAACTTCCAGATGAATATATGCATTTTTCAGCTATTTTGGTTAGTATACTTCGTAGAATTGCTTTGTTTTTCTTTCAAAGGCAAGAAATTCAGTTTGAGTTGTTTTCTTGGAATGTATTGGCTTTAGCATGTCTTGAACTGCTTTCCCTGCAGTGTAAGAGGAGGCAGAAAAAGCAGGCCCAGACTGGAGTGTGTAGTTTAAAAAAAATCCTGCCATCCCATTCCTGTGTGTGTTCTTCATTTATAGGTGGTATGTTTCATGGCCTGTAAAAACCACTGCTGATCTTATTTTCTGTATGCATTACCTTTTCAGAAGCAAATGAGGAATATTTAAACTACGAGTGAAGGACACACACTCAAATCTCTTGTCGTCTTGTGTTTTTTTACATCGTTCTGTATGGAGCAGTTCAAGATCATTTTTTAAAAAAGCTTAGTTCTCCTTACTAGGTAATAACTTGGAATAAGTTAATAGCTCTGCATGTAGTAAATTAGTTTTTCTAACATTTTAATTCTAAAATAGTATGTAGTTAAGAAAGGAAAGACATTAATTTGATGTAGGCAGTCAGGTTAGAAGAGAGGGAGAAGAAAAGTAAAGTTTAAAACCACTCTATTTTGTCATGGTAATTCATCTTTCTGTATAGTATACCAGTCAAATTATTCCTTTCAGTTCTGGCAATAGGTAACTTACTGCCTAAATAAGGAAATATATTTCAGTGAATCATTTTGTGAGCTACAGTCTTCAGGTTTAAGGGTTAGCTGTTCCCTATTTTGTTTTAAAATCAGGTGGGGAGTTAAATAATTTGTATTAAAAATCAGTTAGTAACTTAATTATAGATTTCTCCTATTTAACATTTATCTGACTTTGTTGAAAACTGATCAGGAAGTTCCTGTGGCTTAATTGCAGCACATTTCAAATACATCTATAATATAATGCATGTATATGTGCAATATATATTATTACCTATCATTTCAGAGGTGGTTTTAATAAAAGTTTTGAAATAATTTTACATGGTTTACCAAAATACAGTGTATTTTGCTTCCTTTTTGACTTGACTGCATCTTCTGTGATTGTCAGATGTGCTGGCTGTTGCTCCATAGCCAATTTAAGGATAGCTGGGATAGCATATGGCAGCAGTTCTCAAACAGGTGTTGTGCTATGCTGGGATACCATGAGATCCTTTTAAGGATGCCATAGTGAACTGCACAACATTAGCATAGTTAGGTGTACAAACACTTGCACATGATTCACAAGATAAACCCAGAAATTCCAAATAGACATCCATAGTGTCAGAAATGTTCCTAACCTGTTGTAGTCTTTCTGAATTCTTTGTGACCAGGAGAATTGCTTTATAATTTTTCTGTAGTCAAAAAACAAATGAAAGGTAAGAGGTGGCATTTTCTGAGCAGTGCAGATGGGAGTCTGACAAGGTTGAGAACTGCTGGCTTATGGGAATCTGCCAAAACTGAGTGACCAAGATCATTGCATAAAAAATTAGCCTTGTATGTTTGTCTTGGGAGACTAAATAAAAAGTGATTATTCGGGAAAAATTACCACAACAGACTTTCACACTTAAGGTTAAGAGAGTGATCAATAACCTTGTGAAAGGAAAGAAACTTTTTTTCTTTTAATGAGAGAGAGAGCGAATCTTGATGCTGAGGTCTTAACAACTGGGCAATATATTCTGGTTTCAAAGTTCTCTGTTTGATGGGTCTCAAAACTGCACCACATGATGATGCAGTTATTGATTAACAAAGTAGTAGGGTTGCTTTCAGCTTCCCTCAAAACATAGTAATAAATGAAGATGTTTAATCCTTAGACCAGAATTACTAGGAAAAATACTAGGGCATTTTTACACATGCAAGTGCCACAGCTCCAGGCGCTTTGAAAAGTGCCCAGTGCTGCGATGCCTGCAGTTGTAGAAGTGGCAAAATGCATGTCAGCACACAGAAAACGGCAGCGGTGCGCTTTTGAACTAAAACACATTGGAGGTACTTTAGTTCAAAATTGCACAGCTGCCGTTTTCTGTGTGCTGACATGCATTTTGCCACTTATATAACTGCGTGTGGCACAGTGCACTGCACATCACCTAGTGGTGGATCTCCAGCATGTTGTAGGACAAAAAAATATGTGTATAAATGTGCTTGCTTTTCAAGCTTCTCAGGAATACAGTAAGAACTATTAAAAAGTTCAATCCATTTTTAAAGGAGTGAAGCATAGTGATGAATGGTAACTTTCTTGTAATGGGTGATCTGTAGCAGTGCTTCTGAACCCATGGGTTATGACCCAAAAGTGGGTCGCAAGAATACTTGGAAGGGTCCGGAGCAAGTTCCAGAAAAATGTGTGAAAGCATAGGTTTCTCCTTGCAGGCTGTCAGCTTTCCAGCCTGCAAGGGGCTGCTTGGGGTGACTGGAGGCAGCAGGCGCAAGTGCATCTGAGCACGCACACACGTGGCTGGCATGCAGTCAAGCAGGGGGGTGAGAGCAGTCCTGGCAGCTGCATTCTGGTCAGCCTATGGGGGGCAGGGGTTGGAGGGCCAGCATTGGGTACTGTCCGGGGGTGTGTGTGTGTGTGGGGGGACGGGTGCCTGTTGGTGCTGGCAGGAAGGTGGCCATGTGCTGAGGCTGCAGCAGGGCAGGTTGGTGAGAGGGAGGTGCCTGCCCCTTCAGTGGGGCAAGGGGGAGCTGTGTGGCTTTGCTGGTGGCACTGGGGCTGGTGCCTTTTTTTGCAGGGGTGGGGTGTCTGAGACACACTGCTCAGGCGGTAGGAGGGGCTGTGACCAGCTTGCTTGGCACGGTGCAGGAGCCCTGGCCCAAGGTGGGGGTGCTGCAGGCCTCTCCTAGTCTTCCCTCCAGCTCTGCTGCTCCTGCAGCCACCACACTCTGGCCTGAGCAGGATGGGAGAATCTGGGGGCCCCCTCCAGCAGGACTGGGAGGAGGCAGGGTGCTGCAGGTTGGAAGTGAGGGGCACCAGCATGGCAGGGGACTCTGGGTCTGGCATACGTAGGCCAAGGGGGTGTGGGTTGGGACAGGTCATTGATCTTTGCAAGTGGGTCCTAGTACGAAAAAGGTTGAGAACCACTGATCTATAGAATGCTTGTTGAAAATTGGATAACTCTCTCTCATAAATCTATAGTTTTGGAAAGTATAGGTTTTAATTTTATGGCATTTCAATTTTTGGCCTGTGTAGTACCTCTTAAATTACCATTTACTTAAAGTGAGGTCTAACTTAAGTTTCTATTTTGATGCTTTTTTAAAGTAGAAGATTGTTCATTTGTTAGAGAATAAGAAAGGTTTATGTTTCCATAGATGGAACATGCTGGGTACATGCATGAAGGCAGAAACTAGGTATTCAGAATATATAGTAGTAATGTTATTGACAGAAACAGCTGAGGCCTTGATGCCCGTGCCAAACTCCATTGACTTTAGTGGGAATTGCAAACTTATAGAACACGGTATGTGGATATGACTGCAGAATTAAGGTGTGAAATATTGTACAAAAAACAATATTCCAACTTCTGAGAGACCCTCCCTTGAAATAATGAAAATGACATTTATTTCAGTATAACAGAGTGGTATTATCTCTTACTAAGATAAGATGATTTTAACATGCAAGAATTTTAATATGCCAGACCTCAGTTTTAAAACTAATAATGCATGGATGGTATCCTGCATCTGTTCAAAACCCTGTTGACTTTAAATTGAGGGTCCCTGTGGGCACAGCAGTCTGTCTATCTGATGGATATTGCATGAGCAGGGCCAAGATTAAAATGAATTTTGTTGAAATTACAACTGTATGAAGTGTTCATAGTTTTGAGGCAAGTGAGATATGGAGCCTGGTAATTTTACAGACCTTGTCTTGTTTTGTTACAGCATTTTTATTTTGGAAGAAATATATTGTACAGAACATGAACTGGGAACTTGTTTGTACTTGCTTCATTTTGAAGGATGATGAAACGGCTTCTGTAATTAAAGGTCTAGGTCCCAGTACAGATAACTTGAAAACAGAACAAACCAAATTATAGTTTAATATATATATTATTTCACATTTCAAGTGATATATCTATGCTTTGCATGCTATAATATCTTTTTATTGCAGAGATGCTTACTTTTTATGTTAGAATGAAAAAATCATTAAAGCCCTTGTCCTGCAGGCCCTTAAACATGGGCATAACTTTGTGCCTGTGGAGCTACTAGGGTCAGGACCTAATGAGGATGTTATAGTTAAAATGCAAAAGTAGAAATGAAGAATTCAACTTCATAACTTTTTATTCACCAAGTGAAGATATTTTTTATGAAATACTTTGTTGTTACAGCAAAATAATACAGATACAAATAGATTTTCCTAGCATAAGACCATAGTAACCAAGAGGTGTAGGAAATCATTATAACAACCCAGATAAATAGTGTTAACCCAAAGCTTTCAACAGGTAAACAACATATTAAATTTATTCAGACTTTAAAAACATATCCTTAGTTGTTTCCCCCATAGCCTGTACTGGACACATACATTTGGTTCTTGGTCAGAAGTTAAGATAAGTAGTATAGGGTAAATTCAAGCCATGAATCTGCTAGTGTCAGTGAACGTGTGTGTATTTGCCTTCCTTGTTCTGCAGATTTTAAACTTATGTTGCTACATCTTCATCCTCATCATTGTAGCAGTTTTACATACCCTTCTTCTCTCCTTGTCTTATAGATGTCTTCCTGCCTCTCAGTTTCCCAACTGCACCTGGATCTTCTACCACTTACTGCCCCTCTTCCTTTCATCACTCTGCATCCTGTTTCCTCCTCCTGTGAGTCGGTAGTTCTTCAGCCCACTCTGTTGTCCAAAATTTTTGTTTGTTTTAGCTAAGAAGACTTTTCAAGCTCTGTTCTGGAACATGGAAGCTTTCTATTTGAAATGAAATACACCCATGTAGAGGAGGCTTATACAAGATCCTTTTATATCACTATAGTTTCATTAAGAACTTAAAAGGTAACTTAAGCAAATAGGGAGGGCCTTGTGTGGAAGCCCTCTCTGCTGGAGTAGATTTCATTTTTTTAAGAGATGAAATACATTTCCTTCTTTTTCCTTTAACATACGTTCTTTTAGAAGTTGGTCAATATTCAGTCTAGAAGATGCTTTCATTTACTTGACTTGCAAAGGATTATTTATTTATTAAATTGATACGCATCCTTTATAGCTTCTGTGTGGATATATTTTGTTTGTTTGTTTTTATCTCTGCAGTTCCTAGCTCTGCAGAAAGTTTTCTGGGAATGGATATGCTTTATGAATGTTTTTGTTAGCTCTCAATTTAATCGAAAGTCACATGGCATTTAAAAGTGTTCATAGATAAAATAGATTAACATTTCTTAAATGTAAATTTTAAAGGCAAAAGCAGAGGCAAGTTTACAAAATGTAGGAATAGGGTACCTTTAAAAAATTGAATCCACCACAGCAGAGGATAAAAAGCAAAAACACTTCTAGCATAATTGTGCTCTTAACTAGTCAAACTATGTGGCTATTATTCCCTAGGACTATAGGACTAGCATGTAAGGGTAGGATAATTAAAAGCACAAATGCAGAATGTGGGAGATAAATGGCTGGATGGTAGTATTGCTGAGTAAGATCTATAGTTATGGTGTTCACAGCCTCAACATGAGTCAGCAATGTGATTGATGCCAGTGCAAAAAAAAAAAAAGGCATTTTTGGGGCTACGTTAAAACGGTATTAGGTGTAAGATAGGCCTTGTCTAGAATACAATGTGCAGTTCTGAGCTCCACATTTTAAGGATATGGAGAAGTTACAGAGGATTCAGAGATGGGTGATAAAAATGATAAAGGACCTGGAAGACAACCTGTTTGAGGAATCAAGTTACAAGAACTAGGCATGTTTAGCTTGGTGAAAAGGAGATTAAGGGGATAGAAGCCTTCAAAGATTTGAAAGGCTGGCTTAAAGAAAAAGGCAGAAAGGGTGGCACTTTAGAGATTAAGTCATTTGGAAAGGCATAAGTTTGTGTACGTGACAACTTCCTCACGTGGCTAAAAATCACCTCTCTCTAATAAAGACAGAGAATTACTTTCCCCCTTGTTGTGGATGGCTGACCATGAAGCAATGGCTTCAAATTGCAGCAAAGTAGATTTAGATTAGATACTGGGAAAAATCTTCCTTTCTGTTACAGTAATATGACAGTGGAATAGACTACTTTGGAAGGTGTGGAATCCTCTTCACTGGAGGTTTTCAAGCAGAGGTTGGATGTGCATTGAACAGAGATGATTTTAAAAGTATCAGTACTGCATTTGTTCAGGGGGTTGGACCAGGTGGTTCTTGAGGATGACTCTTCCAGCACTTATTTCCTTCATACTGCTTGGACCTGTACCTTCTGTTCATGTGGATGACCTTGAGGGCTGAAGTAATAGAAAAACTATTCAACCAAATCTGCTTGTCTAGTAGTTTGCCTGTACACAAGGAATCTCTAATAAAAAAAAAAAATCCAGGAAGATTGCTTGAAGTCTTTTGGGTCCAGTGTTTACATATGCTATTACAGAAGTGAGCATAGAAACAAGATTTGTTTGGTAATGACTTTTATTGCGCCAGCTATGTTTTTGGAGAGAGGTTAGACAAATTTTCAAGCACAAAATAGGAAGTAGTAGATAGTGTTTAAGCTAAATACCAGATAATGGAGTTTAAAAAAAATTATAGTTTTATGAAAATAATGAGTTAAAAATAATTGGTTTACACCTTAACTTGGTGTTTAACTGAAGTTGTAAGTTGGTCTTATAAAAGTTATTAACAAACTGTACTTATTTAATAGTCCCTGAACCATCACAGCTATAACCAACCCTAAAACTATGAGCACTGTCAGTAGTGATTGATGCACAGTAGGCATGTCTACACTAAATGCTACATCTCCTTGGCGTCCGTGAGCACAAACTGTGATGCCACAGCTACATCGCCTAGCAATGCGCTCCCTCACTATAGTTCGTTGCTATGGTGATGTAGTGGCTAAAAATAACCACATGCCACTAGCACAGCGCAGTATGGGCTGTTACTGCGCCGTCATTTAGTACTTCCAAAAGTACTAAATTTAGTACTCCTTTTGGAAGTGCTAAATGATGGTGCATTAACAACAGTGCCATAGGGGTACATGTAGACATGCCCAGTCTGAGTTAAATGGAAAGACATTAAGAGGAATGGAATTAAAATTTGTTCTGATGCTTTGCAATCAAAATTGCAAAGACAGGCAAGTTGCATTAAACAAGTAAGCTGAAGATTCTTAATAAATATAATCAATGAGATCATTCACAACCAGGAAAACCTTTTCATGTTAAAATATAACACCTCATTTTAATATGCTCAAAATGCAGTTTGATAGTCTGTAGGCATTTGGGGAAATTTCTAAACTAATTACTGTTTTAGGAAATGCTCAATCCTTATTTTTCTAATTAAGTAAATGTAGTTCATAATACTTGAATTACCTTATTTTCTTGTATACAGTGCAACATGGAATAAGATACCCACCCTATTTTTAAGGACATAATGAAGGATAACTGATCTTCCCTTGTAGAAAGTGAGTAACAGAAACTGGGGAGCTGGACCCACTTATCATTCTGCTTCCTGTGGATCCTGTGTGGAGTTAATTGTTAGTTTCACTTTTGTCCCATAGAAATTTAAGCAGCAGAAATTGTTGTTACCATATTGCCTCACTTAAATTGTGCACCCCAGTTTCAAACGGGTGTTTTGAGGGCAAAAAACCAAAAAACAACTCTGTTGTATACAAGAATGTATTGTCTTTAGGGTAGTGAAGCATTAATACACAAATGCTTGTGCACATGTGTGACTACATGTGAATAAATGCATTGAACCAAATGAGTTTATAAATATTTGCAGGGTCAGGGCCTTCATCCATTGTTGTTCCACAGTCATTTTAAGTCATTGTATTGGTATCTGCTATTTTCATCTCAGTTTCTATTTTAAATGAATGGAGACTGAAAAGAATGTAGTATTTTTGATGTAACTTAACACACCTAAATAATAGTTTGGTTCCTTGACAACTCCTTTTAAAAATCAGAATTATTTTTTTGAGACTAGAGTTGGTGGAGATGCCAGAACTTTTAAAAGGTCATTTGCTTTACATGCTGTCTTAAACATTAGCAGAAGAACAAGCAACTTATGAATGTGGAGTAATCCTGAGATAAATACCATCTCGTCTTTATCGGCTGCTGTAACAGGTGGTAAAACTGACATTCTTTAAAATTATTCTTAAAACATAGAAGCCCCAAATGATTAAAAGCCAGGATTACGCTGATTCTAGTTAAAGCAAAAACTGCAGGTTAAGAATGTGAAGTTACAACATAAATACAGGCTAATCTAAATGGCTGGGTTTTTTCCTCTTTTTTTTCTTTTTTGAGACCGCAACCTTCCAAAATGTAGTATATAAGTGAAGAAAACTGGAAGAAAAAAAAAGTCAGGTGACAACAAGTTAGTAGGACTAAGCCATTTTTCTGTTGTTTCCTTTCCATCTTACCAAAGGAAAAATGGAACCAAGCAAAGTACAGGTTTTACCTTCTTGTACTTGCATCGTTAGACAAGACCTTAAGATGGATTGTCTAAGTACCACTGGGAGATATTTAAGGATTATATTTAAATGTTGTTTTTTGTTTTCAGTTCATGAATCATAAACCAAACTTTTAAAAGCAGAGGTCAGATTTATAGAAATTTTTCCTATGGAGCTCCAAGCTAGTTCAGCGTTACTGTTTGTATTGAGGATACATATTCTGATTTGGAGCTGGTGGAAGGTAATTCATTTTTCTCCCTGTTGGATACTAATTTGTTGCCTTGAGGAAAAGCAAATAAATTTTAAAGGTTGCTTATCCCACTTTTAATTATGATAAAAGTCATGTTTGAATCACAAGATTTAGCTTTTGACATTTGTGTGCAGAATGAATGCAGAGATTGTGCCATTCTGCCTCCTTTCATATTCCTGTTGACTCAATTGACTTGTAGGACACCAGGGAGTCGTGATTTTTCTTTTTATCCTTTTCAAAATTTTATAAATTTAACACTCATCTAGGTTAGAAATTTCACATTCAAATATTGAAACAATGGAGTTGTGACAAATTTGTTTTGAACTTGTAGACCCCACCATGCAAATTACTTTAGTTTTAAGATGTAAATGTTTTATCTTGTTGGAATTTCTATTCAAATGAAAATAATAGCTCAAACTATTTATGTATCTTATGGTTTTGAATATAAAGGTTTGTAAAGGATAGAAGTGAAAACTACTAAAATGTCATTAAAATGCATTTTTGCTCAGAAAGTTGTATTCAATCTGAAAGTGTGAAACATTATACAGTGTATTCCATTTAAGTGTATAGCTTCATGACTGCAAAACTGACTGCCCTTACCCAGAGTATACACTTATCAGATATTTCAAGTAAACAGTGGTCTTTAAGTACATTGTGCTGTCATTTCTTTGGTATTAACAGCTCCAAACTGAGTAGTTTCCCTTATTTTCAAGGTATCTAATACCTGCCTTAAAATGAGGTGAGCTAGTCAGTTTGGGGCTGCTAATACCACAGAACTTGATAACACAGTATACTTAAAGAGCATTGCTAGTCCTTCTGTTGGGTTGTGGTACTGGCACCCCTGAAATGGGCTAGTGCCTGTTATTTTCAAAGCATGTAGTAGTTTTGTGGATGTTGGAAAATTCCCCATGCTGTATCTAGCACATGGACAGGTCCTACCTGCAGGATCTGGCCTGCAGACTAGCCTTTTGCTGCTGCTCTGGCTCGTGGGGCTGTGACGCTGCGC